ACTGTAAAAACTCCTCCAGCTTCCTGCCAGACGAGCTCCGTGACGCGACACTTTCCGTGTAATCTCACCCAGCAGCACAAATGCCTGTGAGATGCACCAGCCCCGCTTGGGGACATCCCTTGAAACCTCTCTGCCGCGCTTCAAAGGCTGCTTTCTGCCTCCTGCCCAGGCATGCTGTCACGAGGGCGGGTGGCTGTGCATTCCAGCCCCCCTGCTGGGGGGGGGCGCTGGCAGGGAGGTGTGCCTGCTGCAATCTCACTGGGGGGACCGCTGCGGGCTGCTTTGGGGGAGGATGCACTCCGAGGAGTCCTCAAAGTAGCCAGCGAACAGCATGAGTCACCCCTTCCTGTCCCACTGCCTTCACCTGGGAGGAGGCGGGACTCGGGCTCTGGGGGAGCCTCCGGCTTCTGTCAGTGCCACACCGGGGCAATGTCTTCAACTCGATTCCTTGTTTTCTTTCCTAGGACGGAGGAATAAAAATCCCCCGGCAGCTGGGAAGAGGCCCAAGCTCCTTCATCCCTGTGGAAGAGGTAGGAGACAAGGGCTTAAAGCAAATCGATTTCGCCGAGGCTCCTGGGGGGAGGGGTGGTCCCCTCTCCCCTGGGATGGGGGGGGGGGGGAGACCTGGGTTTTCTGTTGGTGTAGATAATCCATCTTTCAGAGGCAGTAGCTAAGTGGATGGACAAATTCTTCCACCAAACTAGTTGGATCTATAATGTGGTTAGGTGGATTTAACTGCACTGCACAAGGGTTACATTTTTCACAGCCCCGATTAGGGATGTAAGCGACTAGTCGACTATCTGATAAACTTATTGGAGAGTCGAGAAGTAACTTAGTCCCTTCCCCCCTCTGCTTGCTGCCTCTATCAGAGAGAGGCAGCAAGGTGGGGGAACAGGAGCTGATGCTGGGGGGAGCCGGCTTAAAAGCTGGTTTCCCCTCCCCCTCGGCACCATCTCCACAGGGGGCAGTGGGGAAACGGTGCGAGCGGGGATTGAAACAGGTCCCACCGCTACTCCCCTCCCTTTGGCATGTTCAAGAGCTGCCCGCGGCTCCTGTACATTTCAAAGGAAGAGACATAGAGGGGACCCTGCGCCAGCCCGGACTGCTTTCCCCTGCCCCCGCTAGCGCGGTTCCCGCCG